CAGGACCCATGTAATGACAGTTAATACCATAATACAGGCTCTTAACAACAGTTGAGAAAGTACTTGCACATGTTTTTTTAAACTCAAGGTTGATGTACCTTTATGTCTGGCAAACATGGTCCAAAGGCTTCTAAGAGAAGATTTTCATCTCTGACTGCCTTTTCAAAGTCCATGAAGGAAAGCTTGCCATCATGATCATAGTCCTATAAAAGGAAGGGAACTTTCAGCAAAGGAGGATTACTTGTAGTAATTGTATTTTTGTTTAACAGGTGTTTTATTGATATGGATTCTATTTTTAGTTTGATTATATGCAAAAGTAATTTTCTTTGGGCCATCAGTCTCTGCTCAGACAAGATCTATATCCTTTGCCTCTACCTAAGGCATAAAAGGTGGAGCAAGCTCAGCTATCTCATGCGGCTTTGCTAACAGAACTCCAGATAAAGCAAAACTTCAACATGGGAATTGAGCTGAGAATTGCATGGACAAACTTCAAGCATGTTTGCACTGACCTACATTAAAAATAGGAGACTTAAAAGTAGGAGAAAATGTTAGGATATATTCTGTATATGTATTTACATCATGAGTGTACCTACACCTTATTCATGAGGCTGGAAATGCTTTACCCTAGTGGTTTCTATAGCAGGCATACTTCTGTCCTGTCTTTTTCACATACAGCACCCAGAAGTGTATGGTGGAGTACACTGATGCCAGCCCACTACTTTTGTACTGCAGAAGCTCAGCAGAATATTCCTCTGGGGATGGAAAAAGCATCCTTGTGTTTTTAGTATTTCTGCAGTTTGAAAACCTCCTGTTTCTGCTGACATGGCAGCTTAAAACACCCAACAAACACTACAGTGAGCATAAGTACTTCTTTAAACCATATAAAATAAAGGTTTTACATGAAGATTGATGGGTGGATAGGACTACTGTTCAAGGCACAGGGCTGGACAAAATTTTTGAAGATGAAGCCACGGAACCATCATAGCTGATGAACATGCACGGAGCATAGGTTCTAATGGCCAGAAAAGCAGAGGCAAGGAGCGATGTAGGCAGAGCTTCCCAAACAGGAAAACCTGCCTCTGGATGCTGAAGAGAAACAGAAGTGGCAGGGTACCCTCTACCTTTTACACTCCTCAGCACAAGGGAGAGCAGGACATGAGCATGTTCATTACAAGTACTTTTAAGTATGAAAACGGTGTCATGGGCCTGGACGTATGCTTAGTCACAATGCCATGGTACCTACAGGCAATTGCTCACAGAGTAATTTCTTCTTCTTTGAGTGATGGACTCCACAAATGCATTTTTGGATATCTAATAGTTGTTTAGTTATTTGAGATGGCCAGCAATATCCTACTTGGACAACTGCCCAGCAGCCAAATCAGATCTGGAAATTCTTCAAACGTATCAGAGCTTTGCTAAGTTCTCGTGGAGAAGGTGAAAGGATTACGTACATGATTAGTTTATAGTATGTTCGTACGTATATGAAGATTCTTTATGTCTAGAGCATAGCACTTGTGCTTGAACTAGCATAGCCCACTTATCAACTGCCCAGAACGTGAGGGTGTTCATTTTGGACGCAACCCGCAGGAAAGCTGCGCATGCAGCTGCTCCAAAGATGAACAAATTGCTGAGTCATAGCTTGCTTTCCACACAAGACTAGACTCAGCACTTTCAAGGACTAAGGTCCTTGCAGCTGAGGGTATGCAAAAGAGGTGGGTTTGAAAAGTAGAAGAGGCGGTGTTAAATAAAAGGAGTTGGGATTCAAGACCTGGTTTTAAGTGAGATTTTTCTGACCACCACCATAGGAGGGGAGGTTATATTTCTTGATTTGGTGAAAATGTTGAAACACAGTCCCTGGCTGATCTGGATATCCTAGATTAATCACGGTAAGAAGGCCAGTTTTACATTACTAACCTTGAGGTTACTATTCTAATGGAATATTTAAATTGGATAAAAACATTTCATGATCAATTGATAAAACACAGATGTACTTAATAATAAAGCTATTGCAGATGCCTAACACTGGAATAAATGCAGCTTACGTTTTTGAATTTTCCACTTTTTAGTGGGCTTTTGTTTTGACTGGGCATGCACGTGTATATGCACACATACACATGCTAGTTTATACGTAAAAGTTTGTAATACATTCACATAATAAATTAACAGTTTCAAGTGAGGACACTGAACTGGCACTCATTAGGTCTGGATTGTATTTCTGGCTTTCCTTAGTAGACTTGTTAATCTCAAGTATGTAATTAACTCTGTGGCTCAGAATCCCACTGTAAATCAGACACAGTATTTTGTTACGTCATAGGAATGTTCTAAGCTTCAGTTAATGAATGTTTGAAAGACACTCAAGTATCACAAAGAGGAAGTACTTGCCATTTTCTTCAGTGCTATGTCTACCAAGTCCTTAATTCCCTCATCAGGATCTTCTTCCGATGGTTGTTTGAGAAGGCTGTTCTTCAGCATTTGAAACATTTCCTCTCTTGAAATGTATCCATCACCATTCAGGTCGTAAACCTCAAAACAGTCTTTTTGAAAGATAAATCAATTTAAAGTTCATATAGACTATATCACATACCATTAAAGGTGTTACCTATAGACAGAAAATGTGAATTGTATGTTGTACAGCATATCTATTAAGCCACATTTATCATATATTTTAATAAGAAATATATGTATCACATTTTGATACACATACTAGTCAATTATTGCCTATTTATCCTTCATATCCAAAATCTATTTCTGCTCAAATAAATAATTTTCAGTTCCCAGAAACCATACTAACTTACAGATCTTAACTTCTCTACAATTGTCCATTTAGAATATAAACAAGGCTCTGGTTTAGAAGCCAAATTTCCCACAGCGGGGACCAGCTGTCTATATCAGAAGGACTTTGCCCCTACAAAACACATCCTTGTTATTTCAAAAGATGGGTTAGAAAAGTAAAGGAAAAGGAAGAATGAGCTGTACTAGCATGGAAAAGACAACTGAAGTATCCCTTAATGCAAAGAGAAAAACCCTGTAACAGAGTGTTTTGAGTATCTGCCTAATTCCTCTTCTAATTGTTTCTACCTTCCTGAAGTCAGAAACTTTACTATCCTTCACAAAACTTACTTAAACAAACAAAACTCTTCAGTTTTGGAACACAAGAGGTTTGTTTTTTCTTTTTTTCCTGACAAAGACTATGTCTACAGTGAAAAACTGTACTGACATATACTTATGACAGACAACACTATATGCACCAGTATATTCTACAGTGCTTACAAGCCGTGCTGCATATTTTACTGCTTGTAGTTGTACTGACATACTGAATTACATCCTGGACACACATCCTAGTGCTGTGACATCCCAGGCCACTTTCCAGATGAGTTTATATAGTGCATTAGGGATGGCTGATGCTGCAACCTAGGAACTATGGAAACAACATGCTGTCATTCTCCTTTTTCTATTATACTTTTTTCCCCCCACATGCCCTATTTTATTTTTTTTCCCGCCTCTTAAAATTGTAGAGTTCTTGCTATTTTTTTCTCCCCTATCTTTCTCCATCATTACTGTGGAGGTTCTCATGACCATCTTATAAACAGAC